TGGGTGGGAGGCAGGGGAGATGGGGGCAGGGACTGGGAGGATAGGAAGGAGAGGGAACTGGGATCGGTATGTAAAATGAGGTTGGTTTTAATTTAAATAAAAAATTACAAAGAAATGTATTGAACAAATATTTTAAAATGTCTTAGTATAGTTAGGAAATGTGAATTTAGTTTTGTCTACATCTTTGAGAAGCCCTGCCTAACAATGTAAGCTGGAAAGGACTTGACAAAAGGAAACCTATGTCATCGAGTGGAGAAAGGAACCTAGTCCCTTGCGGACATTGCAGTGGTGAAGTGCCTGAATTGGGGAACTGAGAAAACATATTAGCAAGGCTGAAAGACTAAGAGGTGAAGTCTCTACATCCCACATGTGCTACAGATGACCGTACAAGAAGGGGCAGGCCTGGGCTGGAAAGCCCTGGTTGGTTTTTTAGCATATTTAGTCCAGGTCAGGAGACAAGCACCTACAGAGGGTAAAGGGGTGCAGCTTGAGCAGTTTCTGGAAAAGCCCAACACTGCTTTGGGCACTGCAGTTGCAAGGGGGCAGTGTGTAATGCCTTTCTTGTGCCTCCTTGTGAGCCAGCAGGGGGCTGATCTCACTATTTATAGCCCTTGGGTGAAAAATCTTGTCAAGCAATGAATAAGCCCTGCTGTTTAGGAGCCGATGGTTGTGGAAACCCTTAAAGGGACTCCTATGGGTTCTGTCTGCTCTCAGGAGAGGCAAGGATGGGATCTTGGGGGTAAATGTTCTGAGTCCGCTTTGAAGAGGCCATGCTACTCCTATACTCCTAGTTCACTTGATCTCTGTTTACTCAGACTGTTATTCAAATTGTAATATATAATTTCATAGGGCATTAAAAAAATTCCCCTTAACCAAGGGAAGGTGGTGTGCAGGGAGGCAGATTTGGGAGCAACCCAATCTCTATGTCTCTGTTCCTTCACAAGAATGCTGAGGAAGATAGATATTAAAGCAGTGGAGAGACCAGGACTCTAAATATTATGTCCACCAATAAAACCTTTATCTTCTATAGTTGTTAGGATGCCTAACAAATTTTATAAATACAAGTCTTTTAAAAATGAGATTTAAAAGCTGCAATGGAATGAAACCAATTTTTCAATTACAATACAGAAAAACAAAAAATGAAAAAAAAATGGCAACACTGTACAGCTCTTAGGCTAAAAAGGGGGAATTATAATGAAAACTATCAGAAACAATTTTATAATCAAGAAAATTATTCCTAAAAATTATAGAATGTGACTAAAGCCATACTTAAGAGAAAAATCCATAATCTTAAATGTTTTAATTATTACATTATAAGAAATAAAGTACAATATGTTTGATATTTATTAATGCTGATACTGTGTACGACCTGAACAAAATATATTTCATTTAGTCTTCTTAGTACGTATGAGGTGAGTCCTGTATATTACCCTTAATGATAGGAGGTAGGTCCTGTATATGCCCCAATTAGGCATATGCAAGCAATGTACTAACAATGTAACCTGTTCCCAAGAACTACTTCACAGTTTCTTCACTTAATGCCAGGGATGTTTATTAATGGTTATTATTCTATACAGGGCACAGTAAGAGCAAAGGGGAGAATACAGGATGCTTTCTACCCTGTATAAATCTACTCATGATACAGAGGAGGGAAGGATACAGTTCATATTATGATCGCCACTAATCCAGCTTGCTACACATAGCACTAAGGTTACAGTCAGAAAAGTGATACCATTGTGGGATGGGCATAGAGAAGTCTACTGGGGTGCTTGCTGCCCCTGCTTAGGAAGTAGCTCTAAGATATTCAAATGATTATTGAATTCAAGAGAATCAAAAAGATCATATATACATTTCCACTTTATTAAAATAGTGTATAAATACAGAGCAGTTGGGCACATCCATTTCTAAGGCACTGTTCTGGTTTGAATGCAATTCCAAAAGAGAGAGAGAGAAAAGCCATTACATTCTGTACTTTTAATCTCTACATTCAGACTCCTCCTATGTGGCTGGGGTCTAATCTTAATCCCAGATTTATTAGCAGCATCATACAGGGACCTGGATGCCAAGAATTAAAGACACATCCTGGCTCTGGCACTTCATATGATTTGGCACTTAATTACAAGCTCTCTTGTATTGTTCTTCATTTGTTTCCCAACTCTTGTTTAATTAGAGATATTATAAACTCTTTGAGCCTTACACATGAATTGTGTTTTGTTACTAGCTTCCATTAAGACTAGAACAGGACAAGTTAGGCACATGATACATACCCGCCAAATACTTATATATCACTTCAAAGAACTTGAATGCAATGAAGAGACCTATTTTCCTTAGTTATACTTTAAAGATGACTGTGTATCTTCATATAGGGAATATATTTGAATGTCCCACTTCTTGTATCTAATAACAAGGACTAAGCTCAACGAGTATTTTCACATATCAACAACTTTAATTCATAATGACTTTCTCCCTTACTATGAGATTTGAGTTGTTACTATGATTACATGAGAACATTTATATAAGTAGCAACTCTGTATGTGTATGAATGTGTGTGATAAGTAAAATTCAAAAAGGTTAAGAATCACTAGGTAATTCATAATATGTGAATTAGTGACCTTCCCCTCTTAAAATGGAAGGTGTGTGTGTGTGTGTGTGTGTGTGTGTGTGTGTGTGTGTGTGTGTAAGTATAATTAAAATTCAGAGGCTGCAAATCACTAAGTAACCCACAAATTATGTGAATTAGTGATGATGTCCTTGAAATGATGTGTGTATAATACAAAAGATGTATATTTTCAAATAATTTTTTTATAAAATCCTGGCAACTGTAAATCACTAGGTTTAGAACTACAGGACTACACTGATAGCTACAGACACTGGTTTAAGGCGATGTGTCCCACGGGATCCTTGCAGAATATTACCACAAGTAATATTTTCATGTGTACATGAAAGATCCCGGGGTCAAATAAGTTTGGAAAGCACTGAACTACAAGAGGCACCCTAGCCTCCTTTCCTAAACCAGGGCCTTTCCCAGAGTCTCATATGCTGATGTGCTTAACAAATCTACGAAGGACAAACAGCTACAAGCAATTCCCAAAATTATTTGCAGAAAAAAGCGTTATATAACACATACTTAGGGAGACACTGAGTTAGAAAATGATACAATTTCAAAAGCACTGAAATAAACATGAGATAATACCAAGGCAGAATGAAAAAAACACAGATACTTATTCTTCAGTCCATCTAAATAAAGTTACATTCTACTTGTACAACTTCAACTGCAAGTTATTTCCGCTCGACTTAGCAAACAGTTACAAGCCTAGAACTCTACTTTAATCACCATCACCAGACGGTCAACTAAGCAGAGCAGGGAATGCCACAAAAGTCCAAACTTAAAAATCACAATTCCAAGCATAAAACTGTAAATGGAAACAAGCCTGTTCCTTAGGCCAACGACACCCTCTTCCTTCTAATCCCACTGAAACATTTTTATTGTTTGACAAAATTCGCTGCCTCGTTTCTTGGCACATGAGGCACATCTATCTAAATGGTTGCTTTCATATGGTTGTCTTTAATAATTATACAGGACAACAAGTGTGGTAGTGCTATAGCAGACACTGTTGTTCATCCATTGTATTGGTTCTACCTATAAACAACTGCCACCGTTTATATGCTTTGTGTCTATGCTTATCAAATAGTTGCCTTGGAACCAAAAAATTCCACTGCAATTAGACAACAGAAAAAGACAGAGTGTATTAAATTCAGAAAAAAACTGTAAGACTAGATACACACTCTCGAGCTCTTACACTTTGAAAGATGGTTTTGAAAAATAGCACCCCTCAAAGCTGTACTTATAAGTTCAGAGCAAAGGCTTCTAAGATCACCAGCTACTGCAGGCTCCAATGTTAACTTTGACCTGCTTCTCTTAACCATTCTTAAAGAAGTCCTCTAAAGTGTGTGACCTGGTGCATGATAAGGCCTGCTCGCTGCCTGAAGCTTTTAGAACAATGACTACACTTGTATGGCTTTTCCCCTGTGTGGATTCTTAAATGAATTACAAGGCTTGGTCTCTGTCTAAAGCTTTTCCCACAATAACTACATTTAAAAGGTCTCTCCTCTGTGTGTGTTCTCTGGTGCAAAGTAAGCGCTGTCAGGCGACTAAAACTTTTCCCACAATTATGACATCTATGAGGCTTTTCACCTGTATGAGTTTTCAGATGTCTTTTGAGACTTGATCCATGACAAAAGCTCTTTCCACACTCAAGACATTTATATGTTTCTTCTTCAGAATGGGTTCTCTGGTGCCCAATAAGGTGTGAGCGCCGAGTGAATCGCTTTTTACAGACAGTGCATTCATAGGGTCTCTCTCCTGTGTGAAGTCGCTGATGTCGATAAAGGTCAGAGCTCCTCAGGAACCTTTTCCCGCACTCAGGGCATTTGTGAGGCTCCTCTCCTGAATGAATTCTCTGGTGCCCGGTAAGCTGTGACTTCCGAGCGAAGCATTTTCCACACTGAGGACATCGGTGAGGTTTCTCCCCAGGACTCTTTTTCTTGGGAGGCTTCGGGTTGAGAGGTTCTTCCAAGTTGGAGCTCTCAGGTGTCTCTCCTAGAGAAGAGTTCTGAGGCTCCACAAGTTTTGTTAGATCTGTCTGTAAATCCTCTGGGGATGGCTCCCATTGATTTTCTAATTGCACATAGTCTTTTTCCAGAATGGGCCCATGGAGAGCATTCCCTTCTAAAGTTACAACAAATGGGTACATGGTTTCCAGTTTCTTCTCTTTTGAACTATCTTCTTCATTTTCTATTCCCATCTCAAAACCTGAGAAGAAATAGGAACTGAAGATTTGATTGTGTTTGGAAAAAGGGGAAAAAGTGAAGGAAAGTAAATAGTGAATGTAAATAGTGAATGTAGGAATTCCTAGACACACTTCCAAGCTCTTTGCCCCCATGACTGCTGGTTCTTCCCCTTCTTCCTGAGACTAGAAAGGAGCCATTACTTACCAATCTTGGAATCAAGCAACTGTTTCATTTCTTTGGGATCCTGTAACTCTTTCACCCATGGCTCTTCTCTATGATCCAATGGGAAGTTCATGTCAAGCTTTGGTAACTGATAACCTGGTCATAGAAGCAAAAAGCGAGAAACATGACAGTGTGGCTTATCAAAGGTGTTTCTAGAATACAGGCTGATTGCATGGATACATGGGCCTCCTCATGCCCGTTTCCTCCACAATTATTGTTCCTTCATCTGGAGTCACTTCGAAGAGGGTGTTTTCAAACAATAAAACAACGAATGGATCGTGTGCTGAAAGCAATGTATTAGTTCTGTACTGATTTTGATAATACATTTATTTGTGCTAGAGCTAAAATATGGAGTAAATCTTTACAAAATGTTGGTATACTAAAAACTTGGAATTACTGCTATTGAGTGCTTAGAGAAGAGCAGTCTAAACATACATGTCAAAGAAGAGTGCTATAAACATGTGTCAAAGAAGAGGGGTGTAAACATAGGTGCTAGGAAATTGCTTACTGGAATAAACTCATTTGATACCTTCACAGAAGCATTTCCATTTTATTGAACTTAATTGGCAGCAACAAAAAGTAGTCTATGTTTCAGCAAGTCTAGAAAATGCATTGAAAAATAAATAATGAAAATGAACTGCTAGGCAGTGTTTTTGTCTAACATCTGAAGTACTACTTTCTCTCTGCCATATCCAGCCTTCATTGGCACCATATTTTTCCTACCTCTTTTTCTCCATCCTCACTGCTGGGCACAAATACTGCTCTGCAGTAATATTTGGTATGGAAATGAGCTAACAAATAGGCTGATGATTAAATGTTAGAATTATTAAAATAGCACACACAAGCAAATACTAATCCAAAGGAAAGTTTGTATTTTAGATTAACACATGAGAAATGGACAGAGATTCCTTGTTTGTTTTATCAAGAAAAGACAAGATGTTTCCATTTTGAGACTAAGAAATGAAAGCTGGGACTCAAATGGATTTCTGTGCTGGGTGTAATTCTAGGCTGAGATAGAAGGATTGCAACTTCCAGGCCAATTGTGGCTACGGAGTGAGGCCCTGCCTCAAAAAGAAGAGAAACATAGTTCAAAATTAACTATTTGATTTTTGTTTGGATTTCAAAGTTAAGATGAGATGAAGGGAAAATATGGAATAGATTTTCAAAAGCTGAGGGTCACGGCTCAGAGAAAAGCTGCTGTGAGGAAAGGAAGGGCATGAACTAAAACTCGGAAGAGATTAACAAGCTGATACATAAAATAATGATTCAAGAACACACCAAGATAGTGATTATACCCACCCAATACCCAAGTTCTCTTGGGCAGAGGATTGAAACAGCCAGAGAAGGGCTAACTAGCCTTGGAGGTAGCTGGTGTTAGTTGTGAAAAGAGAGATATGTGAAAATACAGATCCTTCTGGAGAGAACAGAGGACAAGAAAAAGCATCCCTGTACATGGTAATGGTTCAGCAGAGGGTGGAGGCTGGAACAAAGAAAAGGAGAAACTCAGAAACCATAATCTTTGCCAGTACTTTTCCCTACTTCCGACCAGATTGTCATGTTGCAGTATTAGGAAAGCCATCTTAAAGTCTTATCTGAAATGTGTTAGGATAACACAGAAACCCACATTAAAACCCACAAACTAATCATCAGGCTACTGGAAAAGACTTAACCAAAGTCACTGAAAGCTCTATGCCATGTCCTTTCTCTCTATTCTTTTTTTTGGGTGGGGAGTTGAGACAGGGTTTCTCTGTGGCTTTGGCGGCTGTTCTGGAACTACATGTTGTAGACCAGGCTGGTCTTGAACTCACAGAGATCCCCCTGCCTCTGCCTCCTAAGTGCTGGGATTAAAGGTGTGCACCACCACCGCCCGGCGTTTATATATAGCACTTGAATTTTTAGCCAAAGTAACAAGGCAAGAGAAAGAAAGTGAATCAAACAGAAAAGGATAAAGCTAAATTGTCCCTATTTGCAAATACATTTTTTTTTTTTGGTTTTTCGAGACAGGGTTTCTCTGTGGCTTTGGAGGCTGTCCTGGAACTAGCTCTTGTAGACCAGGCTGGTCTTGAACTCACAGAGATCCCCCTGCCTCTGCCTCCCGAGTGCTGGAATTAAAGGCGTGCGCCACCAATGCCCAGCTGCAAATACATTCTTACATTTAAGACTCTAAAGAGGGAAGAATCTATGATCTGATACAATTTCAGCCAAGTGGCAGGGTACAAACAAAAGCAACAAAGAAGATCCAGTAGCTTTTTTTTAAAAAAAAAAAACAGTACTGACCTTGAGAAGGAAATGCAATGCCATCTATTATACCATCAAAAAATACTAGGAGCTGGGTAGTAGTGGCACATGCCTTTAGTCTCAGCACTCGGGAGGCAGAGGCAGCCTGATCTCTGTGAGTTTGAGGCCAGCCTGGTCTACAGAGAGAGTTCCAGGACAGCCAGGGCTACACAGAGAAACCTTGTCTCAAAAAAAAGAATACTAGGAATAGGGGCTGGAAAACGGCTTAAGCAGTACTTCCCTGCACTTAATATCAAGAAGCATACAACTGCTTGTAACTCCGGGTCAGAGGCACCTGATACCTTTTTCTGGCCTCTGCAGGAACTGTATTTATATATGCCAATGAATACATAATTAAAAAATATTTTAAGTACCTAGGAATAAACCTAACCAAAGAAACTGAGGAATATTCTAGAAGATTGAGCAAATTCTGTGTTCATAAATTAGCAGAATTAAAATTGTAAGAATGGTACTGTTACCCAAAGTGGTCTGCTGGTTAAATGTAATCTTCAAAATTCAAATTATGTTTTTCACAGAACTAGAAATCAACCCTGAAGTTCATATAGAAGCACAAAAGATACAAATAGTTAAAGCAATCTTGAGTAAAAAGAATGCTGGAGGTATCACAATACCTGGCTTCAAATTATACTACAGAACCATAGTGACAAAGTTGCCAAAACTGTAACTTGGAGGAAAAAATATTTCTTCAGCAAATGGTACCTGGAAGACAGAATATCCACATGTAAATGCTACTTTTTTGTTTTGCTTTGTTTTTCAAGATGGGGTTTCTCTGTGTAGCTCTGGCTGTCCTGGAACTTGCTTTGGAGACCAGGTTGGCCTCGAACTCAGAGAAATCCTCCTGCCTCTGCCTCATGAGTGCTGAGATTAAAGGCATGTGCCACACCCAGCTTCCACATGTAAATAATTAAGACTTTATCCCTACCTCTCATGCTACTGAAAATGAATTTGAAATGGTTCAAAGAAGCCAGGCAGTGGTGTCACGTTCATTTAATCCCAGTGCTCCAGGACAGCCAGGGCTACACAAAGAAACCCTGTCTCAAAAGAGAAAGAAAGAAAAGATCAAAAACTTTATGTTAGATCTGATACATTTATACTACTAGAAAAAAATGGTAAATATGTACTGATATAGGTATCAGTAAAACCTTTCTGAAAATAACTCCAATATCTTGGAAAATAATACTAACAATTGGCCAGTGGGATCCTATTAAGGTAAAAAAAAAAAAAAAAAAACCCTTATGAACAGTAATGGAAACAATTAACAGAGTAATGAAATAGCTTAAAGAATGTGTAAAAATAAAGCTTTGCTATTCATCTGAGAGGGTTACTATCCAGTGTATATATAAAGAACTAAAAAAGGAAAGAAACAGCAAAGAATAAACAAAATAAGCAATAAATGGACAAGTGAACTGAACAGATGCTTTTAAAAGTATGAAGTAAAAATGACCAACCAGGTGTGGTGGCTTATGACTGTAATTGCAGCACCTGGGAGTCTGAGGTAGGAAGACTGCCATTTGTTAGAAGCCAATTACGTGTATATTCTTCTGTTCACATGCACATCTTAGATTTTTACGGACATAACATTTTCGATAATATACTGTTATAACTGTAACTCGGATGTGTAGCTGTTGTATAGCAATTTCCTCTAAAATTGAACATTCCATTCTGCAGGGAAGACTATTAGACAGAAGGAAAACAACCCAGGAACTCACTGAAATTGACCAGATTCACTCTTCCCCTTCTTCCCAGGAGTAAACAAGCCAAGCTACAAAGAACATTTTCAGACAAGCCGAGCTGCCAAGACCCTGAGAGCAGACCTGTTACTGGAGTTTCTTTCTTGTCCCAAAAGATCCTGAGCCCCTTAGCCCCAAATAAGCACAAAAGACGCTATATTAATTATAAAACTGTTAGCCAATGGCTAGGGCTTCCTCTTGGCTAGCTTTGTGTTAATTATTAACCCATAACTACTAATCTATGTATTTCTACATCTGGTGTGTCCTATCCTCTTGGTACCTCCATGGCATCTCTTTTCTTCGCACCTTTCTGCCTACCTTTCCCAGAATTCCCCTCTTCTCCTAGCCCTACCTATCTTCCTGCCTCTATTGGCCACAGTGTTTTATTCATCAGTCAATAAGAGAACCATGTAGGCCATCCCCCATCACAGACCAGCTGCCTGGAAGAAACAGAAAGCAGCAGAACTGCCTGAAGACGTTTCCAATAATGGAGGCAGCAGGACGACACTCTCCAACTTGTTGAGCTGCCTGCAGGCTATGCAGTGTGCTCCAGGTTCCCAGCTTTGTGAGCTGTCACCTGTACTGGGATGGACTTTGGTGATGCAGCTGTCTTTCAGTCATTTCTGATTCTCTAAGTCACCTCTCATCCATATTCCTGCGACACCAATAAAACTCAGTGGAGCACCAAGTTTCTCTTTGGTGATAACTAAACTTTGGTCTGTTCTGGGTTCCCTGTCTGGGGTGAATAGACATGTGTGTAGTGTCTCCACAGGAAAAGTCTTGTCACACAATAAAGTCATTTCCTAAGAGCTCTTTATTGTTATTTAATTCTTTGTTAAATTAATGAGTGGATAATTTTAGTGATTTCTACCCCCAGTAAGCTAAGCGTTATAAAACAGTTGATCTGACAGGACTTCTTCGTTGTCAGTATGGAATGACTGGTATTTCTGTAGGGCAGCAGAGAAAATAGACAAAGAAACAATAACTAGAATTCTTTAAGTACACTGAAAAAGAGTCACCTAAGTGTCTAGGAAGCTCATTGAATTTCAAGAAGAATAAATACAAAAG